CCTTAATATCTTTTTTCAGTGTTGTGTAGTTTTCTGAGTACAGGTCTTTTACCTTTTTGGTTAGGTTTATTCCTAGGTATTTTATTTTTCTTGTTGCTATTTCAAATGGGATTTTTTTTCCTGGTTTCAGTTTCTGATATTTCATTGTCAGTGTACAAAAATGCCTTTGATTTCTGAATATTGAGTTTGTATCCACTGCTTTGCCACATTCATTTATTAAGTTGAGCAGCTTTTTGGTGGAGTGTATAGGATTTTCCATGTACAATATGGAAACATTCATGTCATTTACAAACAATAACAGTTTTGTTTCCTCTTTTCCAATTTGGATGCCTTTTATTTCCTTTTCTTATCTGATTACTGTGGCTAGGAATTTCGATACTATATTGAAAAGAAGTGGTGAAAGTAGATGACCTTGTCTTGTTCCTAATCTTAGTGGGAAAATTTTTAGTTTTTGCACATTGAGTATGATGTTGGCTGTAGGTCTCTCATTATGGTCTTTATTATGTTGGGGAATGCTCCCCCTATTTCCACTTTGCTGAGTGTTTTTATCATAAATGGGTGCTGTACCTTATCAAATGCTTTTTCTGCAGCTATTGATGTGATATGTGATTTTTGTCTTTACTTTTGTTTATGTGACATATTGATTTGCGAATATTGTACCGTCCTTGCATCCCTGGGATGAGTCCCACTTGGTCATGGTGTATGACTTTTTAATGTATTGCTGGATTCGGTTTGCCAATATTTTGTTGAGAATTTTAGTGTCTATGTTCATCAGAGATATTGGCTTGAAGTTTTATTTCTTTGTTGTGTCTCTATCTGGTTTTGGAATTAGGATGCTGCTGGCTTCATAAAAAGAGTTTGGGAGTGTTCCATCATTTTGGATTTTTTGGAATAGTCTGTGAAGAATAGGGGTTAGCTCTTCCTTAAATGCTTTGTAGAATTCTCCTGTGAAACCTTCTGGTCCGGGGCTTTTGTGTGCCGGGAGTTTTTTGATTACTGCTTCAATTTCATCAGCTGTTGTTGGTCTGTTCAGGCTTTCTGATTCTTCATTGAGTTTTGGAAGATTATATTTTTCTAGAAATGTGTCCATTTCACCTAGGTTTTCTATTTATTTATTTTTAGAGAGGGGAAGGTAGAGAGAAAGAGAGGTAGAAAAACACTGACATGTGGGAGAATCATCAGGTGGTTGCCTCTCGCAAGTGCCCCAACCCCAGATGGGGGCTGAGCCTACAACCCAGGCACGTGCCCTGGTCAAACCAGTGACTTTTCGCTTGGCAGGATGATGCCCAACCAACTGAGCTACACTGGTCAGGGTTGAAAATTATTCCTCTTTGAAGGAGGAACGGAAAGCCCTTTACCTGATTTGTTTCCCTGCCTCTGAACTCCTGCCACACATCCTGTCTCTGTCCTTTATCTTAGCTTCATGTCTTCTGTGACCTGTGTTCCCAGTGAGACTTTCCCTGACCTGGCTTCCCGTCTGTGGCTTGGTCTGCAGCTGCTAATACAGGATGACACTTATAGATATAGTATGTCTGGTCATTTTACAAAACAAACATGTTTATAATAGAAAGGTTTTGTCTTGCTTGTGTTGCCTTTTTTTTTCCGGTGGTTGTTTTCATTTTAGAACATTGGATGGAGACTTTCTTGATGTGAATCTCCAGATCTCAGGCAATTTTTAACAAATTCCAGCGTAGCCTGGTTTATTGTGGCAATAAACCACAATCCTGAGATGTGGGGTGACAGGAAGATCTCACCTTTCAGATCCCCTGTTTCTTTATCCATGTGACAGTGTGTGCCCCTGGAGTTGCTGTGGGCAGAAAGGTGGCCACACGGGGAGATGCCCAGCACCCGTCCCGGCACAAAGCAGATGCTTAGGACATGTTAGTTGCTTTTTCCTTATGTGGAAGACTCCTTGGGTTTACCAGGTGTGTTGTTCGGGTCTCTTCCCTGATTTTTCATTTCCCTCTTGTGCCTCTCACCTGTCCCCACATCATCAGCCTCACAGAGCAGCAGACAGAGTTCTTTCTGTTTGCTTTTACAAAGTCTCAGTGCATGTTCCTAAGCTGGATCAAATTTGACATCTATCTTTCCCAAATATTTAATTTCATCACCTCACTTATGTCAAAAGCACTCAATTATTCCATGAATTTAAAGCATCAGGCACTTCGAACGTCTCTCAGTGAAAAGATATAACTAATTTTACATCATTAATATAGTGCTGAGGATTGAATAAGTCCTATGAAATGGTCAAGGCAGTGATACATTTATAAAATTGGTGTTCCCTGGAAATTGAATGGCATTAGTAATTCTTGTTAATTCTCTTCGAGTGTTGATGGTGTTATATGGGAAAAGTCCTTGATTTAAAGAGACGCTTGGTGAAATATGTAGGGGTAAGGTTTCAGAATATTTCCCATTCACTTTCAAATGCAGGCGCATGTGCACACATAGATAAATCTATGTGTCTGTCTATGATGTACATGTCTGTACATGAGAGTAGGGCAAACTATGGCAACAGTGCTGTTAGTTGTTGAATCTAAGTGGTAGGAATATTGGCATTCAGTGTACTCATCTCTCAACTTTTATATGTTAGAAAAATTTTATAATAAAAGCCAGGCAAAAAACCCCCCAGAAAATGGAAAAGTGCAATCCATAGAGTTCCTAAAAAAATTTTTCCACTTGTTTATGTGATTTTTACTTATTATACTTTGAGTATTACAAAAAAGCTTCCTATTGAGAGCAAGTATTTTCTTTTGAAATGATAGAATACCAATTCTTAACCTACATAATTTTGATAAGTTGTCATTTTGACTCAGCATTTGAAAAAATTTCATATATATCCATATATATATCCCTTCCAAACTATTATTTGGAACCAATGTGATTCTGAGGGATTTTGAGCATTCAGTGGAAGCAAGTAACTGATACTGTGGGTTAATCTGGAGGACTGCAATTTTGAAACACTATCAGGAAACAATTTTTTAAAAATTTCTATAGAAAAAAATCTGTATATCAGTATTTTAGAGATAAAAGGCTGTGCACTTACTGTAGGATGATAAATCGTAATATATATTTACCACATGAGCAGAAAGTGGAGTGAGACTTTGTACCAAACAGGAGCCAACTCCCTAAGTGTGTTAATTTGTAAAGTGGAATGATAATAATGCCCCTTGGCAAGTAAATGAGGCACTCTAAATAGTATGCTCTGTAAAACAGTGGGTAATGTTGTGTTGCCACCTACATCTAACCTGATGAAGATGTGGAACTGGAGAGTATAAATGAATGTGACATCATGGTTCTTAATGATCAGTGCTGGAAGAAGACAGGTTGGGTGAACCTCTATCATTGCAGGTCTGTCCCTCTCAGATTCTATCTCCAAATGTTGACTACTAATTCTTCTGCCTAGTCTGGCCTTTAGGAGTCTTTTGCCCACCAATTGTTCTAAAACTTATCAATTCCTACCTTGCTCTGATACATCTGTGTGCTTTTTAGTATTTTTTTGTTTGTTTTCCCCCAAGATTCGTTAACTACTCAGTACTGATTGCTCTCAACTGTGGACAAACCCTTGACTAGGACTTGTAGGTAAAATAAGCCCTGCGGAGGGCTTCAGTCACCAAGCTACTGCAGCAGTCTGCCAATTCATGATGGTATTTCTTTGGGGAAGAACTTTCTATTCATGAAAGTGATTTCTTCCTAGTTTTTCATACAAGAAAACTGTTGAAAGATTTCAGCCATGTGTCTGGCATTCCTTGGCCTTTTTTTTTTTTAACTAAAATATCTGTTGACACGATTAAAGGGACTATTATTCCATTTAGCATGGCATAGTGACAAACACCAGATTTTTTTCATACACCAGGTTTTAATTCAGAAAACTTGCTTTGTAAAATTTTCCTGGTTACTAGGCTTAAGTCCCTGAAAAGCACACCAAGTGACTCTTATTCTTTTTTTGTCCACAAAAAGAACATTAATCTTTTTTATTGTCAAATAAGAATGTTTATGAAAGTACCTTGTAAATAATAGTGGTATAAATTATTACTATTATTGCCAGTCTTCTTAATCAGAGTAATTTGAGTTACTTACTTATCCAGGTTATGATTCTGCTCCAGGGATTATAATGGGACTTTGTATTTTTGTTTATCTGAAGGTGATTGAGATTGAACCAAATAATGAACTTTTTATTTTTTATATTTAGGCCACCTTTACCCACTTTTTTGCATAGCTCGCAATGTGAAAAAAAAGAAATAATTCTTCATACCCTCTTTTCAGGAGCATACAAGTTTTTTTCTTCATTTAAAAAAAAACTCAGTAAAGTCTATGGCTTATTTTTCCTTACCATCAAAACAAATGAGCATGTAGGCCACTTGCGGCGTTTATGAACCACATACAAATACTTGCACTCATCCCCAGTGTCCTAGTGAGACAGGTTCTTCTGTTTCTGGACATCATGACATTCTGAACCCATAGTAAGTGGAAGTTGCAGGTGTGTTCTTTCCACTCAGGGTTTATCTTTCTGCATTGGTCAATACTTAGAAGAACTGTAGGGAATTCCCAAGAGCCATCAGAAGTGATGGTTGACTTGGAAGCTGTGGTCCTCCCTCTTGTCCATGCTGAACTGAGGCTTAAGTATGGCTTTACTCTCAGCGCGGTCCTCAGACACCTCATCTCTATAAGGAACCAGGCGTCTCCCATGCTTGCAATAAGGGCTTTAAGTTTCCATGAGGCGTTTTGTCGGAGATGAGATGCCACTTTGGCATCACAGTCAGATCTGTGTCTGGTTAATTACAGACTGACTTCCTACATCCAAATGCATGTCTCTAGTTTCCCTTGATTTTGAAAGCCACCCACATCAGTGGGTGTAGAATTATCAACATTCTCAGGAGGAAGATTAAAGGGGTCCTTGTTCATAGCAGTCTATATATATTTAGCCCTTTGGGATTGAAGTCGTTATTATTGTGTACCACCTCCTTCTATTAAACACTATCTTTTTTTTTTTTTTTTAATAGCATGTCCCTGAAAAAAGCAGTGGATCTCCTTCCAGGTCAGGAGAAAAGAAAGGAGAAGATCAGGTAATTACACAATACTGGATTTTTATTTTCTCTTGCTTTTAAATGGTAAATTCTGAGTTGAAACAAAGTAATGAGGTGGCAAAGAGTTCCTGGTGTATTGGCAAATTTAGTCTTAACTAAGATTTGACTCAAAAGTGTAAGTGGAAATCATTAAAAAATAAAAATTAAAGTGCTTCTGGAAAAAGCACCTTAAACAATAGAACTCAGGGTATTTTTCCCTGTAGGAATTAGTGAATCTTAAATGTTTTGTCGTGAGCATGGCAGATTGAAAAGGAAAAAGCAAATACTGCTGTGGAAAAAGAAATCTTTTTATTTTATTTTATTTTTGAGTTATCGCTTACAGTCAATATTATTTTGTATTAGTTTCAGGTGTACAGTAGAGTGGTTAGACAATCATTTACTTTACAAAGTGAGCCCCCCAATATTTCAAGTGCCCACCTGGAACCATACATAATTATTACAGTATTACTGACTATATTCCCTATACTGTACTTTACATCCCCATGACTGTTTTGTGACTACCAATTCGTACGTCTTAATCCCTTCACCTTTTTCGCCCATCCCTTCATCCCCCACCCATCTGGCAATCATCAAAATGTTCTCTGTATCTATGAGTTTGTTTCCATTTTGTTTGTTTGCTTATATTGTTTTCAGATTCCACATGAGGAAATCTATTTCATTAGATTGCACCATGAAAGAAGGACAGTGTGGGCCCAGATTAACCAGTCATGCAAGTTCCTAAACAAAAGGAAGAGAGAAAACTATTTTTTATTTGGGCCGATTCTGTGGAAATACTAGTAAAACCCAGTCTCCCCACTTTGAGGTGGTCTCTGTGAGCCTGTGCTTTCTCCCGTCCCTGAACGGTGCCCCCCGGTGAGCACTGTCAGCACCGGCCTGTGTCTCCGTGGAGGGTCGTGTGAGAGTGCCGGCCTTCAACAGGGCACTGGACGTGCCTCCCCTTTGCTGCTTTTTACCTTTTACATCACTTCCAGCTTGCAAAACAGCCAGGTCCTTAAGGGGACATGGAAATTTAGAAAAAATAAAGCTATCATTTTATTTTTCTCCATCTTATCAATGTGTTTACAGAAAGTTATCTCCTCTTTCTGCTGCTTTTCTGCAGTTTTGAAAATTTAATGTGCTTCAATATATTCAATATGTAAGGGAGACATAATGGTCAGAACCTGCAGGAATTCTGCACCAAGGTCATTCCTCTGCTTTCTACCACTGTTTCCATTACTGATACTCGTGAGGACAGAATGTAGATTATTTCTTACCAAGGAAATGTGCAGTGAACTTTTTTGTATCCAGGGATGGATACATTTCCTGAAAAAGTAAAAGTAAACTTTCATTAAGCTTTTATCCTGTTTCTCGGTTAAATTATTAAAAAATAAGTTTCCATATGAAAAAACACATATTTCCTTTTTTAAATCTTTTTTTAAAGACTTTATTTGTTTATATTTAGAGAGGGGAAGGGAGAGAAAGAGCAGAACGAAGCATCAATGTGTGGTTGCCTTTTGTGTGCCCTCTACTGGGGACCTGACCTGCAACCCAGGCATGTGTCCTGACTGGGAATTGAACCAGCAACCCTTAGGTTCGCAGGCCTTTTCTCAATGCACTGAACCATACCAGCCATGGCACATTTTTCCTCTTTGTGTGTGTGAAAATGTATAATATCATTCAGTTCCCTTATCAACCCTCCTCTTTAAATATATTCCCAAATATCTTTTCTCCCAAATAATTTCCTGTTTGAAAACAGTAGTGTTTCTTTGTGCTCCGAATCAGGAAATGATGTTTTTCAGATGCTATTCTCTATTAATATTAATAAAGGTTCAACTCTTTGCACTAAAAAGGAAATCTTTTCAAATATGGTCAAGTGGGTAGTAGGCTACTTCTTACAGGCTCATCTCACCAGTTGGGTTATTATGTGGAAATGTAAATGTTACATCTGTAGTGAACGGGTGTTGGAGATCTAGGCGACAACCGCTAGCACAGTGTTAGGCCTTCTTTTTTATACTCTCTGGGCTATAAGGTACCTTATTTCCATTTCTGTGAAGGGCTTGGCGATACTGATAAGGAGCCCTGTTGCACATGCAGCCAAGGGAGTGCCCGAGATTTCTGTGTCTGCAAAGGCAGGCTATGCTTTCAGTTTGAAACTGAAAGGCTTAATGAACTTCTACTTCCAGAAATGGAAGAAGGACTTTTTCTTGTCTTTATTAGCAAGTCAAGCCATTCCAACATGGTTTCATAACACTTTGGAGAAATTCAGATCTACAGCTCCTGTACTTGTGTCCATGCCTGGACATATCGGTCTGTCCTGCTCCGTCCCAGCCGACAGAAGCAAAGAGGGGACAGAGGCTCTTCCCTGCTCCCAGGGTGTCAATCACTGTAGAGATTCATATATTCTGAGCTGAAGATTGCTTAACATCTCACCGCATTTGGCCCATGTCTATTTGAGAGGGTGGACAGACCTGTGGGTGGGATGATCTGGTAGTCAAGGTATGTTTCCAATATGGACTGTCTCCACGGAGTCTCTAATTCTTTATGTAATGTGTAAATAAGTCATTAAGGAGGTATTGTGGCCCTGGAGACAGTTCAAGGAAATCATCCTGCATTAGGCATTATTTTAGCCTTTGTGTTCACAAGTATGAAACCATGCGTAATCTGGCATTGTTATCTGCCCTACCTACCACTGTGGTTGCTTATCATCCTCTTTTCTTCTTTATTCTCAGGAAGATTTCCTGAAACTGATTCTTTCTCTCCAATATTTTTCTTACCTCCTGCTGTGTCTTCAATATTTTTCTTACCTCCTCTGGTTTTGGTAATCCATTTACAAACTAGCATTTACCTGAAAAGGCTAAGTAATGCATTGTCCTCAACATACGCAAACGTGCTGGTTAGGCTTCCAAGGTCAGACCCAGACTTTTGAAACAAAGTTTGAAAATTTGCTTTCTATGCTCGGGGGTACTTCTTGGCACTTCTTCCTGCTCCCTTTATTACTTTGCTGAATTTCATTTTGGAGGTGCAAGAAAAGGGGGACTTTGGGAATTTATAACCAGGAGAAAAGACAGTAGGGTTGAGTGAGAACCACTATTATATTGTTGTATGCACAGACACATGGGGGTGATGCAGCTGTGTGAATTTCAGAGCACTTTCTCTTCTATCATGAATAGTTCTTATTGTTGGAGTATGTCCACTAGACAGCCCTAAGTAATTCCTAAGGTGTCAATTTTAATAGAATCTTTCAACTAAAATAACATTGATAATGTTGCATTTGCAGTACAAATACTTGAGATTAGAGTCGAGTAACTTATAACTACTGCTATGAGAATGTATTTGTCTATTTATACAATGGTTGTGAATTTGTTAAGCCCTTCTCAGATATAGAGGAGATTATAAGACCAAAAGTTGTAAGGACTAACAAGCCAAAGATAAATTGACTAGAGATCAGGAAAAGAAAAATGAAAACATTTAACATCAGCACCTTTAAATGCAGTGGAACAGGAAGTCTTTCCAAACCTTCAATCAAATCTGTTTAAAGTATTTGACTAACACGTCTGGCCACCCTGGGGGAGTGTGAACATTTTAGCAGCATATTTCAGTGAAGTCCTAAGGAATAGAATTTAAAGTGTAAGGCGGGCACCATCTCACAGAGCCAATTTTAAGAACTTAAATTTAATAATAGATACATTTTTATGGGTAAAGAAATGAAGGTTTAAATAGAAGAGAAATTATGCCTTAAAGGGAAAAGCATTTAATAAACTTCCTTTACCATAATAACATTGGTGGCATTCTTTTCCTCACTATTTACTTTTCCTTCTTCTAAAATGCATAATTTAAGTATTGAATGACTCCCATTTTTTTCCTCTTAATGGAATTAGTCCTTTTTTTAAATTATAAAAGTAGTATATACTTGTGAGGGGAAAAAGAGGAATTACCCAGAATCTTACCACTTACTTATAACTACTACTACAAAATTTTGTGTGTAGTCTCAAATTAGTGTGTTCCTGCTTATTATATATACTGATTTTAGCAACCCGTTAGTGACCATTCAGGTAAAACAATCATTGAAGCAAATTTAGAAAGTACTGAAGGCTTTATAGAAAAATGCCATCTCAAATTCTGGCACCTAGACAGAGGGCTACTGCTTCCATGTTGGTAGATTGCCCTACATTCTTTCTGAATGTGTACATATTATTTTTAAGCTGAGATAACAAAGCAACATGATTGATAGGGCCTGGACTGACAGTGATAAGCAATGTGCTTTGTGATACATGGACCTTTTCCAATTAAAAAAGGAGTCGTTTTACGTGGGTTTTAAATATGTATGAAATCATTATCCAAGTACCTGCTACTTAATATGGCATTTAACCTGGCCATTATTTTGTGTTGTGATTTTGAGGGCGGCAAACACACTTCTTCTTTAAAAAGTCTTCTGGGACACTATTCCCACACGCACGTGATTTCACTGCTCTTAGCAAATTCTGGAAGAATACTGCAGTATACATTGTTTTACCGGATTATTATTAATTGCGGGAGTTGGTTTTGGCTGCACAAGCTGATGTCCAAGTGCCAAGAAAGAGGCAAAGCTTAAGGGGCTCACTGAGGGCAGGCCTGCCAGGCTCACTGGGAGGCCCAGACTCCAGCAGCCAGTCCAGAATCCAGCTGGGTGTCTGATTTGGGAGGTTAAACCGACTAAGGGAAAGTTCAAAACTCTTTTGGACTACTGTTACCCTGGTTTTTGTTGTTGTTGTTCTAAATTTCGATGTATTTTCCCAATGACTAAAATATGTTTTAGGGTAATTTTTCCAGGGAGAGAAGACAGTGGTCACTTTCTAAGTCTACATGGGTCCAAGAATAGTTTTCTGCTTACTTTGCATAAAAAATAAGTAGAAATTTGCACAACATTTTTGGATAACAGTTCTGTTCCATCAAAAATTCTATACCTTTTGCTCTATGATTTTCTAGCTTTTTGTGCTATAGAGAAAATGTCTGGGGAAGCC